CCAAAGTCAATTTGCCAGTGAAGAGTATAAGAAGATACTTAAATATTATGTCAAGATCCATAATGACATTTTATGCAATAAACTATGTTAATATACATAACTAAAACGAAGGAAGAGGAGGCAGGGAATTGTGGAACAGGTTTTTTGAAAATATATTAAAGTATTAAATTTTAGCTGATTAATAGGCCCAAATTTCTAAAAAAAATATTATTTTTACATTATAAAATTTAAACCACATAACTGGGGGTGGGGGGCACAGAGGAGAAGAAGTTCATTATATGTAAATCTAACAATTCACATACTTTTCTATGGAAACAGTAGGATAATCAGCTAAATAAATGTTTGTAAAATTCATGTTTTCAGATCTTGTCTGTATAATTTGTATACCTTAATATACAGATAAACTGTATATATACAGATATTCAGATAAACTGAAAAAGTTGAGGTAGAATTTATAGTTTGTACTAAACTATATTTTGTTTTGCTTGCGTTTTTTATTCTTGATCATTGTAGTTATTAATCAATTACCTGTGTGTGTGTGTGTGTGTGTGTGTGTGTGTGTGTGTAATATTATTTAGAAATAGCCTACAATTATCAAGTGACTTCCATGTCAGGCACTGTACTCAATGTTTACCTCTTTGAATTATCGTGATAACTCAATTAAAACCTATTTATAAAGTAGGACTTAAACATAATTAATTTTTAAATCTCTCTAGTTAATTTTAATATTTACCCAATGTTGAGAACCACTCTTAATCGTGCATAGATCAGTTTAGCAACTCACAAAATAATTTTTGAAATACCCCCTTAGAAGATCTTTAAGAGGAAGGGGAAAAAAGGGACATGTAAGTTTAAATAAGTGTACTGATGAAAATCAAACAAGCAAGTCTTTTTGTGTAGTTTCCCTATTTTGGCAAGTACTCTATCAAAGGACCTGAGTACTGAGGGAGAAACATGGGAGCATGATCCAACAGGTGTCATTTTATGTAGAGACATGAAAGGGTTAAAAGAAGGAAGGATAATAAAACAGAGGCTTGGCAAAGAAGGCAAGGTGGAAATAGATGTATGAGGTGTCAAACAGAAATTGGGTTTGGGATTAATTCTGGGTGTAGTGGTGGACATATATTCATAGGAAACAATATACTTCCCTATTAGTGGTGATTTTATAAAAATTAAAAGACTACTAACTAGATAGGATATCAAGTCTAGTAATGTTATCACCTATAGAAATACACTTTTCAACTTACTCCCGGGTTATAAGTGAATTTAAACCATCTGTGAAGTAAAAGTATAAACAGCATCCTAAAAGGGGGGCATTCTTTACAGCAGTGACAATGAGATCATTGTTACACTGCTGGTGTCATTCCAATATAATAGCTAAACTATTCCATGACTAGTATCCAAAATATCTCAAATAAATGTATGAGGAACTTTTCTTCCACACATAATTTATTGCAGTCCTTGCTAGAATAAATGGCCTATAGAAGTATCTGTTGATACATGGTCAATGGAAGTAACTGTGTTCAATTTCATTCAACAAAATTTCCAGCTGACTTAGTAATTCAAATACAAAATCCCCAACTCAGGAAAGGCTTGGTCATTCACTATACTCCCTGAAGGACTTTTAAGTTACATACCACTGAATAAAAAACATGGATTATAGGAGTCTATGTACAATTATAATAATACAAATATGCACACTGCAAATTATTAATTTTTTTTCTGAAATGACTTTAAAAATCAATGTAGAAACTGCTAAAATTACCAGAATAATTAGGAAAAATATTGAGAAAAATATAAAGAAGTTTCTTTGAGTTTTCAGACCTATTTTTGCAAATCATGCTAAACCATGATTTGAAAATAATTACATAAGTATCTTCAGTAAGTTTAATGTGTCAAGATTGAGATCTTCAATTTTAACTCAATTTTCAAGTTGAAACATACCTTCCCAAACAGAATCAAAAAATATTTTTATACATGTCAATACATGTTTTTGAACATAGGACCAATTGTGTACTTTACATTTTTCTAGACTTTGGAATAAAAGACAAACTCCCTGTTCTTTACTTATTTATCCCCTCTAATCCCATAACTAAATTAAATGTATCTCTTCTTCAGTTGGTTCATTCAAAATATATTCTTGAATATATTTGCTGTCATTCAGGCATGGCTCTCATACAGAGATTAAAAGTTAAGAGTGCCTCTCCACAAGATCCTTATTCTTTGACATGGAGAAAAGAAAAAAATAACTAATCAAGTAGCAAAATAAATGCTCTAATAGAAATATACATACAATGCTTTGGGAATAAATAATTGAAAAAAACTATGAAAGTCAAGGAAGTTTAGAGGCTCTGAAACATATTGTTGGAGTTGAAAGATGCATAAAAAGTAGGCAAATGGGAAGACTGTGGAAGTGTATGAAGAAAAACAAACAGTATATAATTCTGTTATATAGGCAGGAGATAGTATGGGCCATTCAATTTGAAGAATTGTAAATTGTACATTAGGTTAGAGTTTGATGACCTCTTAAGGGGCGAAAATATTAGCTGGAGAGGTAATCAAGGCTCACATCTTAAAAAGGTCTATATACTATACTGAGTTTCATGTGTACATTGTACACAATGGGGAGTCACTGAAGAATTTTAAATGGATACATTAAAATCATGGAATTTGTATTTAGACATATTTATCACAGACAATTCTAGTTTTGACTCTGACATATGAAAAGCTTGGAAGTCTTCACTTCCATCCTTAAAACAACAAAAACTAAGCTGAACAAACTGAAAATCAACGACTTTCTTGTACTTATCAGATAATTTAGATTGCAGAGCAAAGTGGCACCCTAAAAACTGGAGTGATAGGAGAATACAAAACATACAATCGAGATATCCTTACCAGAAACAAAAGCCACTGGGGCTATAAACTGTCCAAAAACAGACATAGCAATTTTGAATTTCTGGAAGCTAAATCATACTATTGCAAACTGGAAAAACTTCTAGGTGCCACAGTCTTAGGGAGCCCCAAAACTTATGTGGGTTTTACCTCCAGGAGCTCCACCACAATTTCACAAAGATCTGCCAAGAAAAATTCTCTCATCATTGTAGGAAACGGGAAGGCAAAGGAATGATTTTGAAATAGTCAAGAGCTTTCTCAATGATAGATCCTACTCTTTAGAACAGACTATCAGATCTGCACAGCCCAGCCCCACACAATCAAAAATTTGCATATAACTATTGACTCCCCCCAAACTTAACTACTAATAGCTTACTATAGACTGGAAGCCTTACCAATAACATAAACAGTCAATTAACATCTATTTTGTATGTTATATGTATTATATACTGTACTTTTACCATAAAGTGCACTAGGGAAAAGAAAATGTTATTAAGAAAATCATAAGGAATAGAAAATACATTTATAGTACTGCACTGTATTTATTGATACAGAAGGTTTACATAGTCTGTTTACAAGATAAATCATTTGTCAGCTACATCAACATTGTCTTGTATGATACAAAACACTGTAAATGTATGCAATATGTGTTATACGTAACACATTATATTATTCAATAAATGTTATATGTAATATGCTATATTACTGACAGTAGGCATCAAAAATGAAGAGATAATGTAATAAATTTATATTTATTTACAGGTATAATGATTAATGCATTGATAACGAAGAAGCAGCATTATTGAAACCAAGGGTAGTCATCAGTTAGATCCATTAAACTGTAACTTGCTTAATAAATAATGAAATGTAACCTGTCTTTATTGATCAAGCTCATTTTAATTGTTTTTATGAAAACTTGCATGACCTCCAAGCATCCCATAGCCTAAACAATAAAATGTTTTCCCGAGTTGTTTTTTAGGAACTTGGAGTCAGCTGTGTCCAGTTCGAGCTCAAGGTGGTTAAGACTGGTTGGGACTACCAATCCTCCAACAAGGCATGAATGAGTGTCTGATTGGTGACCTTTTGATGTCAGGGTAACAAAACTCAACCCTCAGAACATGTTAATACTGCCATTTTCTGAACACGTATCCCATGGAAAGCACGTAGCTTAGTTACACCTGCACAGAATGATGATTACCTCACCTTTTTCTTATCTCCAATCACCTTTCCCCAGGCTCCCCATGCCTCAACTCTATCCCATAAATATTCTGTATTCCTTGCCTTTGGGGAGGTGGATTTGAGATTTGTTCTTCAGTATCCTTGCTTGGCTACCTTGTGATTAAACTCTTTCTCTACTGCAAACCTCAGTGTCTCAGTGTTTTAGCTTGCTTCCTGTTGGGCAAATGAACCTAGTGTAATCGATACCACTGATTCAAGGTATCCTAGCCTATACACTAAACGAATGAATCATTATAAAAATAATATAATGTAAAAATATAATAAATAATATAATAAAAAATAATAAAATAATATAAAAATAATACATTATTAATTTTATATTAAATATCACTCACCTTATGACTATGTAAGGATAGGCTCTCCACTTCAATACAACTCTGGCAAACAATGTTCTACCCAATGAATACTTAGGTGATGATGATGATGATACAAAAGCATCTTATATAGCTCTTGCTGTACAGTTATTAGATTTTCACATGAAGACACTCATACAAAATACACAAAGGATAAGTTTATTAACTGTATAGCATGATGATTACTTACTATTCATTAAGTGGAAGTGGATTATCATAAAGGCCTTCATCCTCATCATCTTCATGTTGAGTAGGGTGAGGAGGAGAGGAAAGAAAAGCGGTTGCTCTTGCTATTTCAGGGGTACCAGAGGCAGAAGATGTTGAGGAAGTAGAAGGAGAGACAGGAGAGGCAGGCACAATCAGTGTAACTTTATGGAAATACATCTTAATTTCTGTCTCCCTTTTTTTGCATTTTCCTTTCTCTAAAAATGAATCCTTCTACCATTTGCTTTAGTTTAGTGCTCCAATTACAGAAGGGTCTATTTCATAAAAGAAGTCAAAAGCAATCTTGAACAATCAGAATCCTTCTGCCAGACTGTATGATGTTAGTTTGTTTTCTGGCACTGCTTCTACATCTTCTTCCTCATCATCTGGCACTGGCTTGGAAGAATTCACGTCCATCAAGTCATCTTCCATTAACTCATCTGCTATGGTGTCTATTAGATCATGAATTTTTCTAAGATTCATCTCTTGAAACCCTTCACCTCCCACCTTTTTTTTTTTTTTGCCATATCCATGATCTCTTTCATCGGCTCTGTTGTAAACCCTGTAAAGTCATGCATGACATGTAGACAGTTTTCACCAGCTGGAATTTATTGTTTTGGGCTTGGTGGTTTTCATGGTTTTTCTAAAACAATGATGGCAACTTCAATGGTGTAATCCCGCCAGACTTTCATGGTGTTTTCTCTATCAGGATTCTCTTCCATAGCATTGTCAATCTTTTCCATAGCATGCCTGTGTAATGAGCCTTAAGGATCCTTATGATCCCCTGATCTAGAGGCTGAATTATAGACATTGTGTTTGGGGACAAGTAGACCACTTCAGTGTCATTCATGGGGTTCTTGGTGGCCAGGGCATTGTCTAATATCAAAAGAACTTTAAAAGGCAGTCTCTTACTGGCAAGGTACTGCCTGACTTCGGGACATTAGTGGAACCAATCCAGGAAAAGGGTTTCTCGTTGTCCAGGCCTTCTTGATGAACAACCAAAAGACTGGCAACTGTGTTTATCTTTTCCCTTCAAGGATTGGGAGTTAGCGATTTTATAGGTAGGGCAGTCCTGATCATAAACCCACTGCATTTGCACAAAACAGTAGAGTGAGCTTATCCCTTCCTGCCTGAAATCCTGGTGCTTTCTTCTCTTCCTTACTAATATATGTCCTTTGTGATATTTTTTTTCCAGAATAGGGTACTTTTGTCTGCATTAAAAACCTGCCCATACAGATATTCTTTCTCCTTAAAGATTTTTTTAATGGTGTCTGCAAATTTGTCTGCTACCTCTTGGTCAGCAGAAGCTGCTTCTGTTATCCTGACATTTTTTTTAAAGCCAAAGCTCTTTTAAAATTATCAAACCATCCTTTTCTGGCATTAAATTGTCCAGCTTTAGATCTTTCACTTTACTTTTGCTTTAAGTCATCATACATAATGACTTCACTTTTTCCTGAATCATGTTAGAGTCTATAGTTATGCCTTTCTGAATAGCAATCCTACACCCGCATAAAAACTGCATTTGCAATACAAGATAAAAAGGTAATTCTTTAAAAGAACAAGGTAATTCTTAAAAAGTACAAGGTTTTCAAAAAAAGTACAGTTTTCATGTCTGCTGACATAGCTGTAGTGATGGCTTCATGAATTTTCTTCATGAATGCTTTTTTACGATGGCTTTATGCTGGATTCGTTTATCTTGAAATGGTGGGCAACCACAGTTGCAGACTTCAATCAATAGTACATATATTAAGCAATTCAAATTTTTCTTATATGTGTAATGTTATGACTTTTCTCTGCTTCTTAGGAGCACCTCCAGCACCGCTAGTGGCATTTTGTATTAGTTCCATATTGTTATTTAAGGTTTGTTGTATTGTACTAAATGCAATGAAAAGTATGCAGGAACTGTGAGAGAGCACTCTTTGCTACTATATGTAATTTACTGGAGAGATGAGTTCCTCATATGGAGATGATTTGTGTCACATGGTAATTTAAGTGGATACTTGCAACACTTGTGTTCACAGCAATAGCAGCAGGAGATGGCTACAAAATTATTACAGTAGTACAGTACATACTACAGTTAATTTTAGGCATTTATAGTTTAATACTGCATCTTTACATTTGTTTATATTTCTCTCAACTGAAGATGGTGCCATGTGGTCTGTAAGTGTTTGTGTGTAAATTTTGATACATTTTAATTTTTTATAATAGATTTGGGTATATTTTATGGTATTAAATGATAAAATAAACTAGCAACTACAAATACTTTATGCATTCATGACATATTTTTCTTAATTTTTTGATATTTCTAGGCTATGTGGTTCATCTAAGAGTTTTTACAACTTGTCACAAATCTCAAAATAATTTTCCAATATATTCACTGAAAAAAATTCATATGTAAGTGGAATGGCACAGTTCAAACTCATATTGTTCAAGGGTCAACTGTATTCCGTCTATGTAGGGGGGAAATTTTCCAACTCCAACAATATATGGTCTTTCTGTCTCACCTAAAAGGGTGGGAGAGCCTTGAGACACTTGAGAAGTTACAGCTCTTGAGAAGTTATATGATCACTAAAAGACTGTAATTTAATCAGAAGATTATAGAATGCTCCCACTCCCCCACATATTACCACCACATCAACAATGATCCAGTACAATAAATGGATTACAGATGAATGAGCTGCAAAGCTGACTCTAAGGAGTTCTTAGGAAAAAGACAAGAGGGGGGACAAAAAAAGAACACTAGAGGAAACTGAAGCCACTGACACCTGCAGCTACTGCAAAAATTAAATGCATCTCAACCCTAACCAGATTAATATAAAACTTCATGCTAAAGTCCTTTTCCTTCAGTTTCTGTTACCCAGTGTATCATGTCTGGGTTTCAACAAAAAAAAATCATAAAACTTGTTAAAAGAAAAGAAAAAATAGTCTAAAGAAACAAAGCCTCAAACTCAGATATGACAGATATTTTAGAATTATCAGACAGAGAATTTGAAATAACTATGATTAATATGTTAAGGACTGTAATGGGAAAAGCAGACAATGTTCAAAAACATGAATAATGTAACATAAGAGATAGAAACTAATAATAATCAAAAGGTAACACTATAAATTGGAAAAACTCTGTAAAAGAAAAGAATCCTTTGGTAGGCACATCAATAGACTAGACATAGTGGAGAAAAAAATCAACGATATTAAAGATAAGTCAGTAGAAACTTCCTAAATTGATATGCAAAGAGAAAAACATAAAAATAATGGAAAAAAAACTCAGAATATCCAAGAACTGTGGGACAATACCAATAGGTGGAATATATGCATAATTGGAATATCAGAAGAAAAAGTAAATGGAAGAGAAGAAATATTTGAAGAAGCAACAGTGAGAATATTCCAAAATTGGTTGCAGATCCCAAATTCCAGTTCTAGAAAGATCAGAGAACACTAAATGAGATAAACACCCAAAAATCTACATCCAGGAATATCACATTTAAACTGCAGTAAACAAAACACAAAAAGAAAATCTTAATGGTAGAAGACAAAACAAAAACAAAAACACCTTATCTACAGAGGTACAAGGATAACAATTACAGTGGACTTCTTGTCAGAACTACATTAGCAAAAAGAGAGCAGTGAAATATTTAGTGTTGAAATGAAGAAAAAAAATCATCAAACTAGAAGTCTATTTCCGGTGAAATTATTCTTCAAAAGAGAAAGAGAAATAAAAACTTTCTCAAACAAAAACTGAGAGAGGGAATTTATCACCAGCAAATCTGTCATGAAAAAAAATATTTTTTTAATTTCTTTCAAACAATGATGGAAAATAATAGGATTCAGAAATTTGGATCTACATAAAGAAAGACTATCAGAGAAGGAATTAATAAAGTTAGGTTACAATATTTTTCTTATTACTACTTATCTAAAAGAATGCATTTCCAGTTAAGAGTATACCACTTCAAATATATAAATATATGCACACACACAATTCAAATATATATATATGCAATTAATCTCAACTTAAAAACATATATCAAAAGATATAGATATCTCATAGATATATCAAAGTCTATGGCAACCACTAACAAAGTTTTTAAAAGCATAACTGATATGCCAAGAGAGGAGAGAAATGAAATTATATAAGATGCTCAAATGAAGCCAAAGAATTCAAGAGACAGAGAGAGAGAGAGAAAATAACAGTTGCAAAGACTAGAAAGCCATGAAAACCAAGTTGAAATTGCCCTGATTGGCAAAAATTTTTTGCTTCTCTTACCTTTCCAGATTCCTACACTCCCTACAATTTTGACCTGGCAGTTCCTTACTATCTGGTCAGCTATTTGATACTTTTAAGGTTTTTTTAAAAAACTATTTTGTCCAGCATTTTTAGTTGTTTTCATTGGGAAGGTTGGTCCAAACAGTTTAGTCCATCGTTACTGCAGATGAGAGTTGCACTGCATGTCTTCTTTGCCTGATTTCCTAGGTTAGAACTCATTGTCCTTGTCTTTACATGCCATATGAAACTCTAAATCGAATTAATAGTATCAAAAAATTAAATAAGAAGTTTTATTTTAACTACAGTAATGTCTGGCTGTAGGAAAGCGTACTGGTACCTGTGAGGGCTGCGCCCAGATGAGGACTTATTCCCAACTATACGGAGACTCACCCTCACCCTTGCTGAGAGAACCATACTTTCCTGCCCCCAGCCAGGTTTTCCATTGTCTACAACCTTCATGAAGTTTCCTACAAACTTTCTGCAAAATCCCAGGTCAGAATCTCTGGGTTTTCCCTTCCACTGTAGATCTTATCCTGCTCTCATACAGGTCTTGAGTCCAGTGATTCTTAAACCATCTGCGGGGAAGCCTCCTCTTTTTTCCTAATCTTGCAAATTGATACTTTTGTAAAAATACAATAAAATTTAATTACAAGAAAAAATAAATTAAAAAAAAATACAATGCTTTTTATTAATTAAACAGATATAATATTATACTCAATACTGTAAGTATTTTAAAAATAGATCATGGACCTAAACAAGAAACACAAATGTATAAAACTTCTAGAAGATAACACAGGAGAAAATCTAAGTGACCTTGGGTTTGGTAATGAGTTTTCATATACAATGCCAAAAGCACTGTGCATGATAGAAATTTTTGATGGATTACACTTTATTACAATTAAAAACTATTTCACAAAAATCACTGTTAAGAGAATCAAAGCTAAGCTATAGACTGGGAGAATACGTTTACAAATTATTTGTCTGATAATTGACATGTAGTCAAAATATACAAAGATCTTTTAAGCTCAACAGTAAGAAAACCAACTACTCGATTAAGAATTAAGAAAAACAGACACCTCACCAAAAAAAAAAACAGATGGCAAACAGCCATATGAAAAGATGCTTAATATCATTTGTAATCAGAGAATTGAAAAACAATGAGATAATACTACATACCTAATAGAATGGCTA